ATCCCAACCTTTTTCAACTTCTGGACAGCTTTATTACGAACCAGAACCTCAGTCTTGTGCTAAGCTTGTTTCACAACCTCTGCCTTATCTTTCTGATCCACCTTGGTTGCAACTTTCTCCACAGCTTGGAGTTTACCACTGTCCACGACCTTAGCCTTAGCCTTCTCCACAATCTGAACATCAGCCGTGTCTACACTCTGGTTCTCATCCTGCACAAATTCAGAGCCATACAATAGTCTTTGAATCTCATCTACCTCTCTCTTATGATCAGTCGAGTCAAACTTAGGGGTAGCATTGGAGAGGATAACATTGCAATGTTCTTTCCCTGGGCGTTGAGAGGTGGAGGTCATAGAAGAAAACTGATTCTCCAAGGCTTTAAACTTGTTGTTAAGCTCACCATAGGCTCCATCAATCTTTGTGTTGAGGTTTCTCAACTCAAATCCAATATGCTTCTCATGCCTCTGCTGAGATTCTAAGATGGTTCTCAACATGGCTTCAGTGTCAGCCTCTTTAGTAGGAGAGGGAGAAGGGTTATCTTGGCGTGGAGGAGCTTGGTTGTTTTGGTTGGTTTGGTAATTGGGATTGTAGAGAGGCTTTTGGTATTGGTAGTTTTGGTAATGGAAGTTTGGTTCCTTCCTATACGAAGATCCATTGGCATTGATTAAGCATACCTTTTGATTTCCCACAATACCCTCAACAACATTCAACTCAGGTGTATCCTCTTGAGCACCCACAAGGTTTACCTTCTCTTGCTTGGTTGGGAGTGAAAGAAGCAATTCAAGCTTGTCAATCTTTTCTTCAAGAGATTTCAGATCCCTTCTAGTGTCTTCACCACCATCTCTATTAATTTTATCAAACTCATCATTGTAAATTGAGTCACTCTTGGCCATGTTCTCCACAAGCTCTAAAGCTTCAGCTTCAGTTATTCCCAAGAAGAAACCATTGCTAGCAGTGTCTAGCATGCTCCTATACTTTGGCAAGACTCCTCTGTAAAAGGTATTAAGCAAACTCTCCTTACTGAAACCATGATGAGGACACTGAGTAATGAAGCCATTAAACCTCTCCCATGCTCCACCAAAGCCTTTAAGGTTCTTTTGAATGAAACCAGATATCTCATTTCTAAGCTTAGCTGTCCTTGAAATAGAGAAGAATTTGGTGAGAAAGGATTTCTTACATTCATCCCAAGTGGTGATAGAGTCTCTTAAAAGGCTTTTCTCCCAAGTGTGGGCTTTGTCTCCCAAAGAGAACGGGAACAACCTCAGCTTGAAGGCATCTTCAGAAACACCATTGATCTTTGTTGTCCCACATAGTCTATCAAAACTATCAAGATGGTCTAGAGGNTAGAGAAGAATTTGGTGAGAAAGGATTTCTTACATTCATCCCAAGTGGTGATAGAGTCTCTTAAAAGGCTTTTCTCCCAAGTGTGGGCTTTGTCTCCCAAAGAGAACGGGAACAACCTCAGCTTGAAGGCATCTTCAGAAACACCATTGATCTTTGTTGTCCCACATAGTCTATCAAAACTATCAAGATGGTCTAGAGGATCTTCAAGGGCTAGACCATGATACTTATTACTTTGGATCATGTTGATAAGGCTGGACTTGATCTCAAAGGTGGTGTTCTGAACAGCTGGAGCTCGGATACCAGCTCTATGTCCATGAATGTTTGGTTGATCATAGGCGCCAATGGCTCTAGCTTGGGGTGGGTTGGGTTGTGGTCTAAGGTTGTCAGATCCTTGACCAATGCCTCCTTGAGGGAGAACAGCCTCCTCTTGAGGTAAGTGGTTGTTTCTCTCCATCTTTAGCCCCAAATATTCTAGCTGGGCTAGCCTCTCTTCTTCTCTTCTTCTTCTTCTTATCAACTCTCTCTCAAGAGCTTGGATGTCTTGAGCTGCAGGTAAGAGGTGTGCAGCTCCTCTACTTCTCAGGTTCATACACCTGCAACCAATCAAGGGATACAAAGAAGAAGAAATCAGTAACGAAAGCAAGTAAATAAGATTTAGTCTCAAGCAATGACTAAATCCCAATGTCAATAAACAACTCAGAAATGGCAACGGCGCCAAATTTGATAAGGGTTTTTAAGCCTTAAAGCAAATCATTGTAGCAAGGTAAGTAGAGTGTCAATCCAATCCTGAGAGCTATTGAACAAAAAGAATGCAAGACATTGCTTAATCTAAATGCAATCAATGAGGGTTTGTTTTACAAGCAATATGTAAACAAGAATAACTAAGCTTTGGTTTCAATGAGATAAAAGAGCATATGGATAAGGGTATTGACTTTGGGTGATCAAGTTACTATCTAGGGTGAGGTTTCAAGCAATCATTCATATCCTATAGGTCTAGACATAATTCTAAGCTAGTCCTTGGTCAAGGTAAAAGCTCATTTGCTATCAATCTTTAAACACAAATGGTCATTAGTCTAAATCAATCAAGCAATCATTGAGAATAAGTCTACTAACCATCTAAGCCTTCCTAACATGAAGTATCCTTGGTTAAGCAAGCAAAAAGCATTATTACTTTGGTTCAGGCATTTCATCATACACCTTGTGGGCATGAAATCCTAATGATCTAGTTTAGAAGGATTAGGTCTAATCTAGCATTGAGAATAAGTAATAAGCATAGGATAAGAAGGATTTAACACTAATCACCCTAGATCATCACTTAATCACCCTAATCACCCTAACCCATAAGCTCAAAGAGAGTCTACTCACTAATCTTCATGTTTAATCTTAAACCCATGATGGATAGAAGACTAATCATGATTAGAAGAAGAAATAGACTCAAATTACTCAAGAAACAAAGATTATAGTAATCAAGGATTCAACTTTTCAATGTGTTTTTGAGAGAAAAGAAGATAAGATCCCCAAAATAAGGTTTAAGGGTACTTATAGCAAACTAAAATCGAACTGGGCCAACCCAACAAACCTGAGATGCCCCAAACAAAAGAGATAAAAAAGTATGGTCAAACTCGAATTCTTGACTTTTTTGACGCTCACAGCGGCCTATGGAGGCCGCTGCATCATGCCGATATCAAACAGGGACTTTGACTAATTTAATTCCCGAAATTCACCTTTGACCGCTGCCAAAAACCGCTCCCGTAAGCCGCTGGCACACTTAGTCTCTGGGGGTTTCCATCTCCAGCGGCTTATCGACATTATTGCTAAGCCGTTGTGATGTCTCTAGGCCGCTGGGCTTACTCGAGTAGTGATATATGTCTAGTAAATTAGCCATAACTCTTAACATACAACTCTGATTGACCTGAGACCACTTCCATTGGAAAGCTTACTCAATTTTTTATCTCTTCCCAGAATCTTAGAAACAGAAGACATCTTTAAGACCTCGATCCATGTTCTTCTTTCACCCCCTTTTGGATCACAATGCTCTCAAACACCTCCAATCACTCCATGGCACACTCCGACACCTAATAAGGACATATGAATGCAATATGGACCTAAAGATATCTAAACCCTAATGTATATGATAATTTATGTACAAAATGAAATGCTAAAACAATGAAAATATGCAAGATATCAATGGACACTCATATTAATATGAACTTTTGCTAATCACGTGTTAGTGGTCTCGTGGCAAGCGGAAGGTACACACTTTAGGATTTTATCTGACATGTGCATGGTTTGAAGCGCGGCTACAAGTAGATTTGTGGTGATTATTTTGAGGACCTTTGGACCCAATACAGAGAAATCTATATCTGAGCTATGTGTGTGGGAACCGAAATTCACCCCTGTCGATTTTAGATGAGATCGTTTCCTGATACGATGCCGTTTTTATAAGACTCTAACCGTTGCCGTTATGATCTTCCCGAATTCTTACGAGAAAAAAGACTTTTACATTTTTTATCGTAAAACTCCAATGGTAAGACGGATCGAGATGAAACGAGAGACGTTTTGACCATGCTTCAGTGCACGATCGAATCGAAGGACGTATGCCTTGCGTTTAGGATGTGGGGAAGCGAGGTTCGGGATGGTCAGCTCGACGTACAGCGAGCCGAACCGGGTTGGTTCAGCTCGCCGTGCGGCGAGCTGGTCCAGGACGAGCCAAGTTCGCCGTGCGGCGAGCTGAACCGGCTGGTTCGGCTTGTCGCATGTCGAACCTGCTCGTAGTGTGGCGGACGCGATTTTTCGCTTAACTCTCGTGTAATCAGAGATTTTTTCGTTCGTTTTTTCGAGATGACAATTTTCAAGTTTCGCGCGGATTTCCTTTGTTTGGAAAATCCTTAGAATTTTATAAAACAACTTCTCGTGTTTTATAAAAGTATTTTTATTTTTGCGGAAAGTTTTTGTCATTGATTCTGTCATACCGATTTTGACCCCAACAGTGTATTGCCACTGATTGATTAACAAGGGATAATCAGTAGTTCCACTAGATGCCTTCAGTGGGCTTCCCGGTAAACTATGCCTAGATTTTCGATAGACGGTCATTAGATACTAGTCGGGTCTCTTTCAAAAGCATTCAGATACCAAAATTATGAAGAAAAAAAATATGAACCTTTGCTTCTAGGCTTGTAGCCATTTTGATACATAGAGAAAGTATATCCATAGAATAGTGCACACGTCTTTGGGAATTACTCTCAATTTTTTCATATATTTAGGATACTCCATATTAATCACAAAAGAAATTCGTAATCCGATAGTTTTTTTGTGAACTCCTTGATCAGTTTATAGACCACTAGTCATCGCATTTACTTCTTGTACCACTATATTTTTAGACCAGTGAATATTAAGTCTTTTTAAGAGTTTTAAAAACCTTCCTCAACTGTTACACAAAAAAAAAAAAACAAAATTCTCCCCTAGCTTTTCAATTTACGGAAAGTACCTCCTAAGCTAACATTATGTAAAGTCTAGACTCTAGACTGGAAGCCGTGTCTTTGTTACAAGCAATCAAAGATAAGCAAGGTATATAAACACAGTGAACCATATATTTATTTTATTTAAAAGTACTTTTATTTTCATTTCACTTATTACGATAACAAACAATCACAAGATGTTCACAGCTTGCAGTACTTGTTGAACCAGACAGCAATGTTGAGAAAGCTTTCATAATCCGTCTGCGGTCTGGAAAATAAAAACAATCACAAGTTGCAGAAACATGCTTTTAAAATTCAAAACTTTCTCACACAGATGCTTTAGCTTTTGTGTTATTTTTGGTACCTGTCTAGAGGATGATTGTCATTAGGAAAGACTAAGACTTTAACCTCGACTCCTCTCTCCTTTAACGCCCTAACGTACTATACAAATCAATCAAGATAACTGAGTTAAAACAACATTACCAATGAGTTGTAAATCTGCAAACTTAAAACAAGTTGAAGATTGATCTTACTTGAAATCCATTTGAAATAGGAACACGGAGATCCATAGTTCCCAAAAGAAACAGAGTGGGTGTTTTCACCTGCACAAGAAAAAAAATACACAAGAAGAATCATTAAATATATAGGATGTCATCAAACCTTACCAAAGAAAAAAAGAGGTGTTGTTTAACCTTTGAGATGTGTGATATAGGAGATATCTGATGAAACAGAGACATGTCTTCAGGTGAGGGGGCTTCTGTGTAGTGAGTCTGGTCACCATAAGCTTCAAAGAAACACCAATCAGGTATATCCGTAATCCCAACCATTGATGCAATGTTGCATACAGGATTCCTCGCAGCTGCTGCCACAAACTTATCCGGAGCCTATAGCAAAACTTTTATAAGGTGGGCCTATAGCAAATTTTTTATTCTGGTGCCATTACTTTAAAGGTGAGTGAATAACAGTACCTGGCCAATCAAGTGTGTTGTCAGAAACCCACCATGAGAACCACCTAGCACGGTTATTCTAGAAGGGTCTGCAAGTCCCATTTCAATGGCATGATCTACCGCTGAGAGCACATCGTACACGTCCTGTGACCCAATTTTTCCAGGTACAGACTGCAAAGCATCTTCCCCAAATCCCAACGAACCCCTAATGGATCACCAAAGAATAAGCTAGAATCACTGAAAGGTTGTTGGTAACTTAGTGGTTATGAGAGATGTATATGTGAACCTGTAATTTACAATAAGCAGACTGTATCCAATTGAGGAGAGATATGCCAACTGCTTGGAGAAGCTGCATGGTGCAACTGTATGAGGGCCTCCATGGAGGACAACAACTAAAGTATCACATTTCCCATTCTCATTGGTCTTTGAAGACGATACATATATAGCTTCAAAAGGTTTTTTGGCCCCTGCCATGTGTTTGATCATATCGAAATAACTCAATAAAGTTTTTCAAACCAAAAACTAAAACAACTAAACCAAGATTAAGGGTTTAAGTACCTTCGGTGAGACATTCAGAAACATTACTGACTGGAACATTCAGAATTTTAAACTGAAGAGATGAAAGCCCTGACAGCAGAAGGGTATAATATAAACAAAAAAGATTTAATACAAAAATAATCTTAACATCAAGAGGATTTGGCAAATACGATTTTTACCTTCTCAGAGCATTTAAATATTGGTTTTTGGATATTTGACCAATGCCATGAAGGCTTCCCAGATGGATCAAGAA